AGACTTGAGGCCAGAAATCAGTTCTTGAACTTTGGGGGTCAAAAGTACATCAGTGTGCTAGTGTGACTCTAACCAGTGCCCCCGGCAGGGCGGCTCACACAACAGAACTGTACCTCCTCCCATTTCTGAGGCTGGATGTCTAAGACTGAAGGGTAGACAGGGTCACTTTTTTCTGAGACGTCTCTCCCTGGCCATGACGGCTGTCTTCTGTTTGCCCTAGTGTCTCCTCGTGAGGACACCACCAGGTGTCCTCATTTTAACTTAACTCCTTAAAAAAATATCTTGTTTACAAATACAGTCATTCTCTGAGATGTTGGAGGCTAGGATTTCAACATACATCTCCTTTGGGGGGTGGGTGACACAATTCAAAACAGAACAGAGGCGTATGCAGAAGACTCCAAATACACCCCCAACTCGGAGACAAGATTTGCAACCTACATCCCCATCTCGCTGAACTTAAACTTCCTCTGGCAGGTGGGGGTGTGGAGGGAGGGCAACAGAAGACAGCACAGACACCCTTAGGGTTCTGTTGGTTTTCTGTCCTTTGGAGACCGGCTCTCACTATGTAGCCCACCCTGAGACTCGCTATGCAGACCAGGCTGGCCTCAACTCACAGGGCCTCTGCCTCCTGCGTGCTAGGACTAAAGGTGTGAACCGCTACATGTAGCCTCTGCTCGTTTTCTGTCCTCTGCCTTTCTTCCTCCACGTTTCTATTCCTCCTTTCTTTCTGAGCAGACACCAGGCCAGCCACTGGCTGAATATGCTGAGTTCTTTACGGAGTCAGATCTTTTTCCTGGACCACTGGCCCATGCAGATTGCCCCCTCTGGGGGCATTGGCTCTTGTTATGAGATTTGAAATACAACTTACCCCTTCTCAAGTTCATGTGATGAAGGCTTGGCCCCCAGCTGTTGGCATTATCTTGGAAGGCTCTAGAAACTTTAAGAGGTGGGGCATAGCTGGAGGAAGGATGTCACAGGGCGTGTGCTTCTCATTCTCAGTTTTCCTCCCCTCTCCCGGCTTCCTGTCTACTGAGGTGAGTAGCTGCCACCCACATGCTCTTGTTACTATGATGTCTGTCTTCCTATGGGGTCCAGAATCAATGGAGCCAAGGGCTTTGGGTTGAACCTTTAGAAACCACAAGCCCACACAAATCCTTCCTCTCTTTAAGTTGGTTTTCTTGGGTATTTGGTCAACAGAACCCTCCATCCTGTGAATTTCACCCTCCAGGATGTTAGCCCTCCAATCTAGTCTATCTTATTAACCAGGTAGGAGAAAATGCAAGATAGCAAATCACAGTGCAGTCACCATGGGAGAATTTTACAACTCTAAGTCCATCTCACTGTTCTTGCTTATTTTGAGAGGGATGGACAGAACACTGTCAGGTGTGTGAGAATTAGTTTCCAGTCAATGAGAATCTCACATCCTACCTGTTGCTCCAGGGGACTGTGCTCTATTCACTAGGCTGAGAGAGCTTAGCCTAAATCTAAGTTTGAGTGAGAAGGTCGAGCCAGTTCCAAGAAACAGGGATTCAGCCTTCCCTGAGCAATGGGGTGAAGTGAGACAGCTCCTCCCTTGTTCTTAATTCAACAGCATTTACTGGCTTTTTCTTCTATGCCTGGTGCTGTGAATTAAAATCATTTATTTTTATTTTTTAATTATATTTTTATTTTTTAGATTTATTTTTATTTTTTAAATTTATTCTTTGTGTCATTCATGTATTTTTTAAGTGTGTGTGTGTGTGTGTGTGTGTGTGTGTGTGTGTGTGTGTGTGTGCGTGCGCGTTCTTGCACACATGCACATGAGTACAGTGCCTGCAGAGGCCAGGGGAGGCATCTGATCCCCTGGAAGAGGAGTTACAGGTGGTTGTGAGCCTTTTGATCGAGTGCTAGGAACTGAACTTGGGTCCTCTTTGAGAGCAGCAAGTCCACCTTGCTAAGCCATCTCACAACCTCTCTCCTGCAGGATTGTAGTTAATCCTCACAGTTGCCCAGCAAAGAAGGTGGTAACATTCTTGACTGTAGATTTTACCCAAGTAGCTGTCAATTCCTTTTGTAGCTTTTATGTAAGTATAAAACCAAGTCACCTTCACAAATGAAGCACACACAGAACGGCGAAATGAATACAATCTTGAACAGCAACATTCACTTAGTAGTGAAGAAGACATGAAACACCATTTTAGAACTGACCTCATGCCCAAGGGTCTTTCCAGAAGGTGAAATTGCTCTTTTGCAGGTGGGTTAGGGCCAAGATTGCCTAACACTTCCATTACATTTTGTTTCTTGGAACCGTACGTGGTGACAGAGTACCTTCTGCCATTACCTCCTATTATGCTTTGGGCACAGAATTTCCCCCTCCCCCACAAAAGGCTCCCGCGTTGAAGGCATGGTCCTCAGATAGTGGAGCCATTCCTTGGGAGCTGGCTGGATTATAAGGTCTCGAACAACACTGTTAGAACTGTCACATCAGGACATTATTGGGAGGTGGTAGGAACTAAAGTTGGAGCCTGGTTGGACGAAGGATGTCACTGGGGGTGTGCATGTGAAGGATCTCTCTCTCTCTCTCTCTCTCTCTCTCTCTCTCTGTCTCTCTGTTTCCTGGTTGTCATGAGTTGAGTTCTGCCATCCCCTCCCCACCATGATATTATGCTTCTCCTTAGGCCCAACTCAATGGGACTAGGTGACCACAGATAGAAAATCCCAAAGCCATGAGTCAGAATAAATTTTCCCTCCTTCAGGTGCTTGGTTACAGTAAAACTGTTGATTCCAGTTGTCCTTCTAGGTAGATTCTGCATGCATCAGGGGTTCACTCCACAGGAAGAAAATTGGAGAAAAGCATACACACGTTATATATCCTGGGCAAATCTCTGGGGGGATGTTGCCTCACTCCTCACACCGAGGTGGGGGCAACTTCCATGGACCAAGCTCTATGGTTCCATCTGTTTTCCCTCAGCCCCTGTGCGTCACTTGCATATTGATTCCGTCCACTCCAGTTCTGAACATTGTGAGTGAGTCTGTCACTCCCACAGTGGAAAGCACAAACTTGACAAAGAAATCATATACTAGCTGCATTCTCAAGAGGTCCAGAATTTGTTTGTGTTTATTTATTTTTACATGGATTGTGTGTGTGTGTGTGTGTGTGTGTGTGTGTGTGTGTGTGTGTGTGCGCGTGCGGTGTCTGGAGGCCAGAAGAGTGTGCTGGAATCCTTGGACTTGGAGTTCCAAGTTGCCATGAGATATCCTACATGGGACATGGGTGCTGGAAACTGAGCTCTGGTCTCCTAGAAGAGCATCAGCCACACTCAACCACTGAGTATTCTCTCTATCCTTTTAAATATATATTTTTATGACATTAAATTACTCTAAAATTATCCAGAGGACACCCCTGAGATCTGGGACAGGGCTGTGTGGGTACAAAAACCCTGGACATGCTCAGGAACCCTCAGACCCCAGTTTTCCCCAGGCTCTCCTTCTATTAAGATGGTGGAGCAGAATTCCCCAGTCAAATGATATCAGAGACTCATGTTTCTGGTCAGGTGGAAAAAGCTCTGGAACTCGCTTGGTATTTGTCCTTGGAAGTCACTTTGGTGGACCCGTGGGCAGGAATGAGCAGTATTGGTCTCCCTCAGGACTTAGGTATGGATGACATCTGTAAGTTCACAATGCTCTATGGATAAAGGAGGACTTGAATAGTCACAATGAGGCTTTGTAGGTGGTTGATGTCCAAAGCTCAGTAATCGAGGGTGGAGATCTTGTCTTTGCAGTGGGCACTGGCCACCCTGGAGTTCCATTTCTCCAAATGTAGGTAAAATAGACCCAGGTCCTGGACTGAGAGTCTAGATGGCTACCTGTGACCCTTACAGCTTCCTTCTCCTGCCTTTTTCTAGAACCTTGGTGAGTTCTTGCTGTAACCTGCAAGAGCAGACCACCTCATTAACACCGTGGGCTCTGAGGCTCTGTACATGTGTACATGTGCAGGTGTTTTTCAAATGAGCACACAGCAGGTTTGGGCCCCTGGGAAAGGTTGAAAAGGCCCAGAGAGATGGCTCAGTGGAGTGCGTACTGCTTTTGCAGAGGGCCTGAGCCCGTTTTGGAGCAGTTGTGTTGGGTAGCTCACAATTGCCTGTAACTCTAACTCCAGGAGATCTGATGCCCTCTTCTGGCCTCCATGAGCAACTGCACTCATGTGTATATATCCACATGCAGACACACATACATTCACATAATTAAAATAATAAAAATAAATCTCAAAAATGGAAGGCTGAAAAGACAGAGGAGTGGAAGGGACCAAGGACATGTGCTCATGTCAGCCATGACTGGGGAGGTAATAAAGGGCTACCTTACCATAGGGATCACAATGTTATCCTCCATTCTATCCCCTCCTTGCAGGAAGTCTCTGCTTCAACCATGGATAGGCACACTTACTTTTTTCTTGGAACCCAGATGTCATCTGCCCTTCCATCTAGTGAGAGCTATAGCATGGGCTCTCCAGATTCCCGTTAAACTCTCTTGGAGGTGTGTGCTAGCACAGTTCAGAACAGTTTTTGCCCCTGGAGGTAACAGCAGTTCCCAAGGTCACTTAGAGACACCACACCAATGCAACCAGTTCACTGTCACTACAGCTCATTAATTCACCACACTCCTGCTGCCTGCTTTGGGGATGGATGCGGTAAAACTGAATGACCATTTGAATTTAAACTACTCCAGTACAGGTTCTAATGCACATAATTATTATCTGAGACTGACCAATGGGTGAGCTCTGTCCATCATTTCAGATGGATAAGCGACTCCGTCTATTCTGATTATTTTCAATCATGGCGTCATAGGGCACCAGCGTGGTGCCATTTTCTAAAATATCCAGCATTTTTATACATTAGGTACAGACATGGCAAATACTTGATGTAAAATCCGCAGTTTTACTCCATAACCAGATTGTAAAATATGAACTGAATTAATCATAACTGCAAAGACTAATGGTTGCTTTTCTCTTATTTTATCTTTAGTGCCTTTGTAGATCATGTTTTAAAACCTTCCACGTCTGGCGTTGGGAACGCGGCAGCGGCTTGGTGCTGGATAGCAGGAGGCAAAGGTCAGACCCGAGGCTGCACAAATATTGTGTGCTGGATTTATTGTTTTAATTAAGAGCATGGCAGTTCATCATAAAGTGTTTATGGCGTTTCTGCTCAGCGCAGCATTTTGAAATCAGCTGTTTTAATGAAAACATAATGTCACATACGTCAAAGTTCTAAATATTTTGAAAGTGAAATATAGAAACAAGAACTTTAATTCTGGGTTTACTGAGATTAGCTCATGGAATTGCTTTTAAATCCCTGAAGAGGGTCACATCATGGCTACCGCATGGCTTCATGAAGGTGACTAGGGAAAAAAAGGAATTCTAGGTGGTTCTCAGAGCTGGGTTATTTAATAGTGAAAATACAAGTTGAAGGTTAATGTATCGAAAAGCAAAACCATTATGGTTGGTGTTGGGATTTTAGATTAAAGAGGCAATAATGAGCGTGCAGGGGCCTCAGTCTGTGGAGAGGCCCTAATTGTGCCAAGGGGGAGCCGAGAGCCTCTGAGGGCGGGAGAGAAATGGATCCACCCTTGTCCCTTTCCAGTCACGAAGCCTCCACATCACCGTGTTTACAGCTAATTATTTATAATGACCTCAAAGATGCTGGGGTTTCTCAGCGTTTTCAAGCCGAGCAGTCTTTAACACTTGTCATTCTTTCTCATGGTGACCGGGCATCTGTGTAGATGTGCCAGCAGTCCTTGGTTACATTTGTTAGGGAGTCAGATAAAATATTTGTCTAATCTGGAAATTGTATTTTTAGCTGTACTCTCATTGGAAACAGAAATTAAGCCTGCCGTTAGATGCTAGGCCACAGCAGTTGACTGAGCAGAGTAATGTATGTGCTAGTCAGTGCAATACTTGGTCAAGTTTCATATAGATCGTATTCCACATTATTTTATTAACTTTAATATCTGCACTTCCTATTACCAGACATGCCCCTCATTCAAAGCACAGAGGCACAGCCCTCTAATCAGAAGTGACAGGCTATATACTTTCTCTCAGCCATTACTTGGTAGCCTAGAGCAAAGAACTATGTTTCTTTGAAAATGTTTTGAATTGGGTTATTTTTATTGAAGTATTAAAGTAATTCTTCAGATTTTAGGCTATTATTTAAGTACTTTTGGGAGAATACAATAACCCCCGGATTGCACAGGCTTTGTTACTTGAACAATCGGAGTGGCTAAATGCATCTTTTTAATGCTGGTTATATAAGCTTGGCAGAACTCATCTGACCAGGCGAAGTTAAGAGTGTTCAGGTAATTATAGAAAATTAGCAGGCTAAATTAGTTTAGGAAAGCACAAAAGTATAATATTAAAAATGCTCACAACCTATAGGCCCTGCTAGCTGGCGTTTCAGTGAAAAATGGGCATTTCTTATTATTTTATCTTTGTGTTTTGTAATTCGATTGAAACAGCCAATAGTATGGTTAAAAAGGCATTCCTGGGCGTGGGGCATTGTCGTTGAGAGTGAAGTGAGGGTCCCAGGAATAACGTGACTCCAGCCACCAGACACGTCTGTCGCAGTGCTGGAAGAGGTTGCCACAGCCAAAGCCAAACTTGAACTTGGCAATTCTGGAGAATCTACAGTTGAATGACTGTATGGTGGGGTGTTTGTGAGGTCTTAACTTAAGCTCCAAAGAGGTTCTCATGGTCTCATTTCTGAGGGTAGCTCCATTTCATCAACACATCCTGCATAACTTCCCAAGTCACACACATGGTCTGGTTCTGTCACACTTCAGGTGTCTGGAGAGCTTCCAGGTGTCACCTGGAGCTTAAGAGATTGAGACTCCAAGGACATACCCAGTATTTACCAATCCATCATCCTTGGCATGGCCACTTATTTATTTATTTATTTATTTATTTATTTATTTATTTATTTATTTATTTATTAAAGGTTTACTTATTTTATTTTATGTGTATTAGTGTCTTGCCTGCATGTATGTCTGTGCACCATGTGCATTTGGTGCCCTGCAGAGGCCAGAAGAGGGCGTCAGATCCCCTGGAACTAGAGCTACAGGTGGTTGTGAGACACCATTGTGGGTGCAAGGAACTGAACTCAGGTCCTCTGCAAGAGCAATGCAGTGCTCTTAGTACCCAAGCCACCTCTCCTGACCTCCTAGACATGGCATCTTATGCAATCCTTCCAATACTGCCCTTCTTGCACGCCAGGAGAGGCCCAAAGCTGATGTTGTCTGGTCAAGGCTAAGGATGCTGATGGTAAAAAAAGTTGAGATTAGAACTCATGTTCAAACCCCAGGTTCTGCCATTCTATGCCAGCTCCTGAGGGTTCTGTTTTTCATCACATCACAGTGTGCTTTTGTTGTGTGACCCAGAGATGCTGTATTTCCAAGCAGCATTTGGTAAGATTAGCTTATAACTAGTGGCTAACCAAAAATTAACAACAGGACAGCAGCAGCAACACTATACCATCGGAACCAAGTGTGGCCCCTCTTACAGAGTCATTGTAATGCATCTTAACTTTTTCTTCTTTTGAGAGAGTGTTTCACTATGCATCATCAGGTGTTCTAGGGCACAGTCAGAATTTATTGAAAAAATACTATCCAGCAGCCTAGGTATAAGCTACTACATATAAAATAGGAAGGCACTTGGGAATGGATGAGATACCAACTGGTGATTCCTCTGTATGTTAAAGCTCTAGTCTTTGACCCATGCTCATCCCTGTGCCGGCATGCTGAAATGTTGGTCAGATAGTTATTGCTATTTCTACCAATCTGCATGTGTGCACTAACTATGCACATGTATAAATCTCTAGTCTTCCATCTCTGCGTTTGCCCGTTAGACCGGCGTTGTCACATCCTTTGTCGCGTACCTCAAAGAAGCCAGTCAACTGAGGCGTGGTGGCACATGCCTGTAATCCAGGTTCTTGGGTGGTGAAGGTAGGAGGAGCACAGGGAATTTGAGGCTAGCTTGGGCTACATAGCAAGACCTGTCTTAAGAACAAAACGAACAAACAAACAAACAACGAACAAGGGCTGGGTACAGGTGGGTCGGCGAAAGCATGCTTGCTGAGCATGCACAAGGTTATGGGGGTTGTCTTCCTTTCCAGTCAGGCGACATGGTTACTGACTGGGAAGCAATCTGTCCCTTGTGACAGAGAAAGAATTGTTCACCAAGGATGCCTTCCTGTTCTCCTAAATTTCTTGGTTCCCACGTAGATGGGATGAGTGACTTCTGGTGAAGGGGCTGCTTTAAGGGAAAGCATGGAAGAGCTGGTGGGTAGCAGGACATGGGCAGCTCTCTCCTCCTTTCTCCTATCCAGCCGGTCACCTTGTAGCAAGGTGCAGGAGCTCCAAGATAAATACAGCTTGATCATTAGGACACAGAAATACAGGATGGAAATCTACCCTTGTGAGTTTCACAGATTCTGCACGTTTCTTGAGAGTAAGAAATCACCACTTGATGCGTCTAAACAACCAAGACTTAGGGGCTGCTTGTTATAGCGGCATAAGCCTGATCTCTCCTCACTTACACACATGGCTAGGCCCTTGGTTTGGTGACTCTTGCCCTCTCCCCAGGGTTTAGAAATGGCAACTCCGTCCCTCCTCTTTCACCCTTCCCAGCTTCCCATCCCCTCCAGTTCAGCTCTGTGATGACTGAGTCTCAGTGAGGCCATTTGTGATCTTTGTATTTGGGTTGCAGTGTAGAAATGAATTGCATTGTTTCTGTAGATGTCACTACTGGCTCCTTCTTGTTGAAATAGACTGTAACAAGTGGTTGGAGTCTCCACTGGAGGGTAATTTATATTTATTTGAGCTGCCACCAACTCCTTATTTAGTTTGCATAAACTACCCAGGACAGGAGAGGAATCTCCCTGGACCCTGTTTATCTTGTAAAAGTGGAGTTTGCTGGGGAGGGCGGATCACTCCTCACATGGACTCCCCTCCATCCCTTTTAGCGATGAATAATCAGTCATCAGGAGAGGGGATTAAAAAATAGATTTATTGCTATTTCTAAAAGTCAGAACTAGAGATGAGTAAACACAACAACAGATGTATAAGAATGTAAGTAGGAACACTATTTTACAATAACATGTACCGAAACACATTTATGTACTGAGAACTATGAAAAATAGCTCTCTTTAAATGATTTAACATTTGCTCTCTTTTATATACAGTTGAGTTTCCAGTGGGAGAACAAAGACGCTCATAGCTCTCTGGGCTCCTTTGAAATCCCTCTCTCCAAACCTTCTGGAATGTTCCACAAAGCACTTTGAGGTTTGGGAGGAAACAGGGACTGTTTTCAGCTGTACATATATACCTTCCCATCTTCCCCCACAAGAGGGATCATTATTTTGGGACTCAGGGAAGCCCAAGCCAGAGAAGGCAGGGAAAGCATGTGGGGAGCCGTGTATGACCATGATGCCTTTTTCTGGAGGAAGAGGAAGCTGGCCTCTTATGGGGAGATCTGTGTTCTGCTTCTGGGGGTGTGCATCCAGGTTTGCTCTTTGTTGATCCAAAGCAACTTGGAGAGGAAAGGGTTAATTTTAGCTTATAGGTCACATTCTGTCATGAAGGAAGGTTGGGGCAGGGACCTGGAGGGGGCCGGGACTGAACTGGCTTGCTCCCCATGGCATTGCAGGTTTTTTTTTTTTACAACTATGTGCTCTGGGATGGCACTGCCCACGGAAGGCTGGGCTCTCCCACATCAATCATTAATTAAGAAAATGCCCTGCAGATATGTCACACACTAGTCTTCAGTTGACTTCAGGCAGTTCTTCAGTTGAGGTCCCTTCTCCCCAAGTACGTCAAGTTGATAGCCAAGATTAGCTATCCCAGGAATGCTGCTCCTGAAGACTCCACATCACTCCTTTTTGTGGGAACATGGCTGCAAGAAATTGTTTAGAGGAAGTCTGGGCCCACTGGTCCTGTCCCTTGCAAAGGACTCACCAGGCAGGCTGTGATTGGTGTATTGATGATGGGGAAATGGAATCTCTTGAAAGGCCCCCGATCCACCATCACATCCAGACAGACTTTCTAGTAAGTGGGTAGGGGGTT